CTGGTCAAGGTAGAGCCCTTGTTTGCGGACCCAAAGCAGGCAGAAACGGTCATTGGTGCAGCACTTTCGATTCCAGCACTTTTAGCAGGCGACAACTCCGTAGTTGCAGTGACTGTCGATGCGTCCACCGCGGTGGTGGCTTCGGCCGGCTCAGCCGGAGTCGCTGTACATGGTAATTTCTCCTCACCGGGGCCGCACCGCTGAAGTACGAGCCCATTACTTACCGTAATTGCTGGTTCAAGGATGACGGGTGGAGCTACATTGTGCCTGCAGCGGGGCTGCCGTAGCTTTAGCGTCAGAGGAAGACGTTCGACTCAAAGAGTCACTAATACCAAGTTCCTTATCCAAAGGACACTTACAGCCCAATACCAGGGCTCAAAGTTAATACCTTAGCTTTTATGCTTCAAAACCAGAAGTGTTTTATTTACTATTATTGCGGCCAAGCCGCCTAGGGTAAATGTATCTCTTTAACTATCTAGCATAGTTAAACCTAACCAAATGCATAACGTGTGGCTTTCAGCCAACGTACTGAGAGACCTTGTTAGCTCTCCAACTTATGTACTGAGAGTTTGTTAACTCTCCGGGTACTTCGTACCCCTGTGTGCTCCACACCATGTAACCCCGTTACAGTGCCGCACACCGAAAATTGCGTCCATTTAGTAAAAATATTTTGAATTTTTCAACTATCATCTCTGTTTCCATTCACAGCGTCAAATTATTTCACTATGCCTTAAAACACGCACCAAAGAGAGCTAATTTTCTTACCTTTGATGCTCGATGGGTCGGTGGCCTTCACCAAGACCGGAGCAGCTTAGCTTCGACTTGTACGTTGTATATGAGCTTTTGAGCTCAATGCACTTCGACTTCACCTGCGTAGCAGTTTTTTTGCGAAAAGGAGGCGACAGCGCTCTCGTAAAACTTGACCTTGACCCCCTTCGTGTACTTCGCTAAATGCAAGACACAAATTTCTAAGAGGGTGTGCCCCTCTTATGCACTCCATCTCCTGCTGGATAATGAGCAAATGACCAGATTACTAGGTGTAGCTACTAGCAGTAAGCTTGCGTATTCATAACCAACCAAATTAATCCTTCTGGCATGGGCTTCCATCAATCGCAGCTAACCTGCCTTCCACTTTTCAAGGAAGGTTTGAGCTAAAAAAAACGGAACGCGAAGATTTGATTCGATTGGCCGATCAAACATATTTTTCAACCGTGATAACCCCTACTGTATCGTACAAGCTACAAACTGCAAAGTTAAATGAGTTTCATTCGGACCCTTTAAAGTGTATAAGCAACCCATCAGATTTTTTTAAAGAGGTTTTCATCATTTGATTTATAAACCAAATTATGGCAGCGCGAACTTAGAAAAGATGTTCATTGGTGCCGGCAAAGACTACTACTTGACGAGTTAGACAGTGCAGAGGATGTGTGTGTCATGATACTCAGTGCCACGTCAGTAGAGCTCCCTCTAATCCCAGATGTCCGCTTCACCTTGGCCACGCACCCGGACGCTAATATCGACAAAGATTTTCGATTCACTTGCGCAGAGCTGAAGCTTGCCACCGTCCTTCTAAGTATCATCATCTTGGCCACGCGAGACACTTTCATCGAAGCCCCCTCTTCTTTCAATTATCCCTCTCCGCCACTGCCCGTTTCGCCATCAGGCTGCGCGAGATGCTCACTCATCGCCCAGCTGTTTGCCGTTTTGCTGCTGGTTGCTTTACACGGGGACACAGACGTAAGACCGTCGGTTGAAAGTGAGACTGTGGTAGCTCCCAGGGTGCTACGGGGTCGTCTGCGTGGGTGCTGTGTATCGCAAAGCCCCACTGATCTTCGTGGCTGTGCTCTACCACATTTCAAATATAAATGGAGCAGGGGGATATCATTTTCCGGCGGTGTGAATACCCACAAAGATGCAGAAAAAAGGCTCTCCTTTTATCGATATTTGCTGGAGGCTTTGGAACAATGCATGTGATTACTAATCAGGGGTAATTTCCAGACAGTAGTTGGTCACGTCTCTCTCTAATGAAGCCTTTCACAAAGTAGAAGATACTACAACGTACACTTGGCCATTCCCCGTAGATCTGGATTTCTGCATTCATCCTGTAGGATATGTGAGGTGGTGACGCGTGATACAAAGACCTCATACACCACACGAGAGAGCGAACCTGTTCAAATAACGACTGGTAATTCAAATGCAGCATAGTTGCCGCCGGGTAAAAGGGTAGAAGATCAGGCAGGAGTCGTCGGTGACGTCGTCGACGTAAATTTGGACACAGGGCGGCGAAAACGTAGGTTTGGACTCAATTTAATAGCTGTAGACCGTGATAACTCACCTTGTTTCTGTCTCCCGTTCGCATCGGAGACACAGCACTAATGAAGCATTTAATATCTTCGTTCCCACGTGGCGATCCGCGAGAGTGTCGTCGTCGCTGCCATCGGAGTCCATCCTGTTGCTTGGTTGTGTATTTACTACTGATCAGGTCTGCGCAGTAATACATATTTGTGAGGGGTATATTTTAAGCGGCAGCACTTCATTATGGCACTCTCAAACGATACTCTCGTGGTAACTGACGCACGGGTGTCTAGCGAATACTTGTTCCCCAAGAACCGCGTGGGACTGCGAGTGAATCGGAACTATGATGAAGAGGTGTCAAATACTGTGCTTAGCGACGTACTTCATCGCAGGGCACGTAAAGGGCAAGTATGCGATGGTCATGTATAAGGCGGATTTATTCGGCTACGATATGGTCTTCAAGCCTGGCTTCGTAGTGGTGTCCGGAAAACACAAGAGGCATTATGTGGACTTATCGAGCTGGAGCTGCTCGTGTTCCTTTGCATCTGCGATGCGTTTACCCTGTCAACACTCTATCGTCCACCGAAAGTGTAAAAATGTGTCCAAACGTGTCATCCCACTGAGTCAGATCACTCATCGGTGAGTAACAGACCCTATGAAGATGTCCAAGTATTATCCATGTATTGAACATGTTTCGTCCATTTGTAACCACTTTATGCTGACATCCCCTTTGAAATGGATACAAACTACAGGTGGTTGCATCCGGCAGATCTAGATCAGACACCTAGCCTATAGCTGTAAATGAATTCAAGCCTGGACAATGAAAGCGGAAGATACTCGATGCAGCGACCAAGTACAAATATGCGCTCAGTGCTACACAAGCAATCTGCCGTGAACTGGCGGATATATAGAACGATGACGAGTACAATGCGCATCTTGATTTCCTTCTCAAGCAGTGGACGAACATCTGACAGCAGAAGCGTATCAAAATCACAGAAACGCGTCTTTCTGTGAAGACTGATGGCAATGAACAGGACACGAAAGCAGCACCATAATTGTCTGTCAAGCTGATCCCAAAGGCTGTAAAGACCGGAAGACCTAGCTCAAACAGGAAAGAGCGCGAGGTCGACGACAAGATAAAGCGTGCACTGTTTAACGAGTCTGAAGAGCATCACCCGAAAGATGGGGGGCTACTCCAGTAGACTCTAGACCACGTAAATCTGATTCCGATCAAGTGGGAGAGAGAAGGCAACCAGAAACCAAAGTATGTCCGACAGAGCGCCCCTGTGCTGAGCTACAACGCTTATATCTTCTGCCGAAGAAGCTGCTGGACAAATGCGTCTCCATCCTTTCAGCGATTAACATGAGAGATACTGCAATCGAGGTCTTTATCCAGAGCCAACATCGCAAGCTGATAAAGACGACACGCTATTACCTGGACAAGCCCTGCAAAAGCATGGACAAAACCTGAAACATAAGGCGTTCAGATCCCAGGCATTGAAATGTTTTCGCGAACCCACATTGAGGCAATGTGTTATCTTTCGACCGTGAAAGACCAATGCGACAAAGGTGTCAAGTTTTGCACATGGCTACTCCAAAACGTGATAAGAATAATGTCTTCAGCGAAACATCCGGTATTGGAAGAGATGGTGAAAAAAGTGGCGATGTCGAGCTTACAGAGCCCGATCGTGATCGAGGCCAGTGAGTATCACTACGAGATGCTATACCGCTTGAAGCCACCATCCTGGTAAAACGACGCACGGATCCATCTTTTCTGCTCAAGACTGTGCGCGGCAAACCCTACCGCTCGTGTGGTGGGGATCGAGAGCACAGTGGCGGGACGGAAAACGATAAACATGAAATAATTTCTTAAGACAAAGGCGCAAGACCTGGTGGGAGACGCAGACCTACTCATGATCCCGGGTAACTTTGGAAATTCGCACTGGTGCGAAATTGCGGTAGATGTGAAACGAACTCGAGTCCTGTATTACGACTCCATGAACCAAAAGATTTACAATACCGTACTAGATCGAATGACCTAGACTCTGGCAGAAACCTTGAGCGATGAATACGATGTTGTATCCCGCGCCAATTCAGACGGACGGCCACAACTGTGGTTTCTACGAAATGCTACGATTCTGGCGAATGGAGGGCAGCGGCACTAGGATGGATGTGACTCCAAATGGACTCACGCTATTGCGCTTTCAGATTCTTCAGTTAGTGCTTCACGGTAGCTCGAACTAACCCATCTAATGTGAGTCTAATACACGGATGCTGTATGGCCAATATATGGACTCGATACATGACCAATAATACTAACGTTGCCTGTGATCATGCCTAACCACCTCGGACGCGGAGGTGTGACACGAATAGGCTAAGAAAAGTGCTTATACCCTCCCGGAGGGTATAAGAAAATAACTTCGTTAAAATAAGATATAATTAATTCAAGGTTAAAAATGCACTTTCTTAGCAACGAGTGTAGCTAACCTCCTTGGTAAATATTCCGCAGAAGGGGATGGTGTGATCAGCGGATTTAAAATTCTCCAATCAACTGTTTCCTGGTCATTCTATGCAAGCCCTAAATTTGGAGACATCCACAGCACACGCATCACAGACAAACATCTCCCTCCTTCCCCCAACTAGACCCCAAGCAGCGGTACAAACTATAGCGGCATAGTGGCAGTAACAGGATGGCCAAGTGAGAGCTAACAGAGGCGAATGCATGTGCAGGTACGGTGCCAATAAATGGTTGAGATTGTGAAGGTACGCGTATTGACAAGACTACGGTCCCGAATGTGACTCTCCTTTGGCGAAAACTCACCGTTCTGCCACAGGATATGCCATATCTGTGCACACGTCATTCCTTCGTTTGCTGGATGCCCTCGGACTTTGTTGCAAAGCGTCACCACACCCTTCTTGTCCTCCGAACACTTTGGGCAATAGAATGTCGATGTCCCCCCACGCCGCTTACCTTCAGGATTGTAGCAGGAGCAGACTTTACACTGGCGCTGTCTCAGCCTCTGGACACCGTTGTTCATGCGCGTATCTGGCGTTTGAACTAGTACATGCCCGCCATGTACAGTAACTTGTTCAGTAACTGTAGTAGAAGGTCGAGATAATCCGGTTGTCTCTGTAAATGCTGTCTGTGTTTGGAGGATAAGTTGCTTGTGCATTCTGGCCAAGAACACGTAATGCGACATCTTCTTCTTGCTCTGTTTCTCCCACAACAGCGAATGTACAATGTACGCGTTCACCATGGCCATGTCTAATAGCCCAAGGAAGAGACTCTTGTAGTATTTCTGAAATCTGGTATACAGAACAGCATAAATTAGAGACCATAAGTTGACATTGTCAGGGTAGCATTTACCTTGCTGCTAATTGCATAGAGTACGACTGAAGTAGCAATTGATCATGGCGATCAACACCACCCATAAAGCGCTGGTATTCTCCAACAATCCCCGGGCATGGAACAGTGCTCTGCTCTCCATTCTTTTCACGGCGCTGAACACTCGTCATAGCTGTTCCAACTTGGGATGCTAGGAAGTAAACCGATCTGTTATCAGCCCAGCCCAGTGCCACTAGACCCGGATTGCTTTTAGCGATCGCCATTTTGAAGGAGCCCCTTCTAACGTTTGCTGGTCGCTTCTTGAAAGGAAATTCAACCCCTTTGCACCACCCTTTTCGATTCTTTTGTATAGTCCCAACGAAATTAAAGCCCATAGTCCGCAGTTGTTGCGCTAGCGGCACAGAAGTATAAAACCGATCTGCAACCCGAGACGCCTTCCTTGGTAAGGGAGTCCACGGAAAACACTCGCAATATTTTGTATGACAGCCGCCGGGCCGCTCTTTGTGTCCATCGATTGAGCACCCTCCTTGTCCTTCTTCCGCCCAACGTCGACTTCAACTCTGTCATGCATCAAATAATGTACTCTAAGTCAGCATAGCTTCAATGATTTATCGTGACTATGTCAGCATTACCTTTTGCAGTAGCCCGACTCGGCGCAGCACGTCATGACGCACTTGGTTCCCCACTTATGAGGCTTGTCCTTCATGTACAGGCGTGTCGGATTGCGTCGATTGAACGAAGGTAACATACCTTCATCAACAGCCACTCTTGAACCCAAGACATACCCCTCCTTGAATGTGGTTTCCACCGTTGCCAACACCGAACGAATTTTCCAGCTCCTATCATTAGAAGCCGCAGGATCTTCGTTGTCAGTGAAATGCAGAAATCTGGTAACGAGCCGAAAACGGTCTCGAGACATAGCTTTTCCAAATGTTCCTGCAGGAATTAGGCCATCCTCGGCCATATTCCAGTGCATCTCAAACGACTTTCGAGGACTCAAGGCATGGGCCAACATCAGCCCAACCCATTGAACAACTTCGTGCGGCAGAATCTTATCAAATTTCATCAGGCGCTTTCTCAGTTTTTCTCTACTCTTCTGAAGCCGGTACATCACCTTCCCTTCTTGCTGTACCATTTTCTCGAGCCGTGCTTCAAGTGTTTGCTTCCAATATCGGTTAGATTCGCTTGCAACATGCCGCCAGAACGATTTGGGCAGGAAATAGTAGAAGAGGTCGATAGGTGACTGTGAATCAGCTATGACGCCTTGTGAGGGTCCACAGTACCCGTCGTACATGTTGTCTACACCAGCATCATTAGTGACAGGCGTTGTTGCATCGTCCGGTAGAACAGTCCAGCCATCTTGTGCCATGGCAGCAAGTTGAGTAATGTCATAAATCTCAGACGACCCTGTCAGCATAATGTCCGTTAGATAAACTCTCCTTGGCTGCACAATAAAAAAACAATACACACCTTGAACGCGCAACCGCATATCATCAATTTCAGCTGGCTTCATAAGGCCGATCATACGACTGACCTCTTCTGCGACTGACTCGTTTGTTTCTTCACTCTCGCTGGAATCTTCATCCACAAATGTTTCAGCGGTCTCCACCAAATCATCACTCCCTTCTCCGTCCGAATCGAGAAAATCTTCACCTTCTCCCAATACGAGGTTTGGATCAGTGGCTTCCATCACCGCGAATTCGATTCCTTGAAATTGAGACGAACTGACAGTTGCAGGCGGAATCGTCACTCCGTCGTCGTCTCGGGTCGTGTCGACCAGTATCACCTTCAGACTCAGAATCATCCCCATCACTCTCATCGAAAACGAACTCACTGTTTTCGCCATCGCTGCTATCGGCGATGACTGAATCCACATCACCATTTATATGTCCGACTGGAGATTTATTGGCATCATCAATAGTGTCAGCTTAGCATAACGTCAGCATATTATCGGGTTCTTATACCATTCTTGTCAGTGCTCATGAAACCAGGTTCTTGATTTGTCTGAGGGGGGTCTGCACGAAGTCCATCGTTTGCTACAAATACCTAGTTAGATCTTTATAGGCACCAGCACTGAAACGAAGCGGTACCTTGGGCGTTTTCGCCTCCCCACACTCTACCGAACGACGAGAGCTCTCGACGGCGATCTGCTGCTTCTTTGTTAAGCTGCTTCTTCGTCCTCTTCTTCGTCTTCTTTGTAGAAGGCTTTGCGGTCTTCTGCTCTGTAGATGTCTGTTTCACGCGTTTCTTCGCCGGCGCTTTACCTGACGCAGGAGCATCTCTCTTTGGTGCAATTGCAGCCTCGATTTCGGGCGGATCAGGCACTGGAGTGGGAAAGTCTGACGCAGCAGCGCCTAAAGTGCTTTGGACTAAATTTCAATACAAACAGTAAGTCACTTTTGTAAACACATAGTAACAGCAAGATACTACTTACTCGCTTGAGAAGGCGGGCGCACCCATACGTTCGCGATATTAAGCCGCGCGCACAGCTCTGTATCGCGACGCACATACGCCAGTAGTTCATCCTCGCCGTTGAAATAGTCCGTGCCGCGTTTACCTCCCCTAACTTTGCTTCCTGGTTTCAGGTAGCTGTGACTACACGCATTTATGCAAGTTAGTACATTAGTGTGGTGCAACAAAGTAGACAAAAAGGTAACGTACTGGATCTGGATGCCGGCTGCAGGCTTCCACGTCCAACCCTCCTTTCGTAGAAGTGGCCATACTGACTTGAAATCCATAAAGTAAGTCATTCTTGCGCTTGACGTGGCAAAAACGAAGAATGAGTGGCTTGGCGCGAAAGCGGCAAAGGGAACCAAAATTCATTTTTTCCAAAATATGAGAGTCTGCTCTTTACGCGCGGTACATCAAGCCACCTGTTTCATGAACCAATAAAATTGTTGGATTTGTACACGTGGACCAATAACAGTCGATCAATTTATGGGAAGGGGCGTGGATACACTTTTGCGGATTTCGTGGCATAGTGAATCTAAGTAATTGTTATGCTGTTCTGAACAGCATAAGACCATATTACAACCCTCCGCGTCCAAGGGGTGCCTAATAAACGCATGATTTATGGATTATACATGGCCTCAATACATGGACTTCAAGACTAACATTGCAACTCAGCAAAATCTTAGTGCGGTGAAGAATTGATCGGCGGTAATGATCTCATTACGTATGGTTAAAATACGCAGTACGTAATTTATGGACAATTCCTGCATGGTCAAAACATACACTCGGCGTATGGACAGGAGAATCGGCCCTTTTCTAGTACATTTCGAGTTTTTATATGAATGCATACGATAAAAATAAGAAGGCACAATATGACCCGGTTTTGTGAGCAAATTCACTCATTTCGCTGTCATTTGACGTGCTCATTGCAAAGTGGACAGTGAGTCAGCTTTTTACATCAACAACGTCTATATACAAACATATCTGGGGGCCGCCATTTCCTGTATTAACATCGCCGAAGTGAAACCGGACCTCAAATCTGTTAGGCGCCCAGTATTAATAGGAAGCTGCTTTCCGCCGCTAAGGATTAGCATACCAGATACTTAATTGTATATACAGTAATTCGCTAGCTTTTGTGGTATGAGGCCGCGGGCAGGCCCGCAGCAGCGGACCTGCCACTAAAGAAGCAGCCTTTGCAGCCCCTCTATATCTTATTAAAATGTGCTATTTCCGCCTTTAAAATTTCGTTGTTTAAGCTACGACGTTATGTTTTTTGCAAGTACTGAACACTAGCTAAAATAATAAGTTTCACACCGCTTTTACCGTCCTCCCAGCCTGAAGTGTAGAGCCCTAGTTTATTTAATAACCTTGCAAAGCTAATTTTCTATCTTTTGACCTGGCAACAGCATTATTTACAGCACATATTAAATACACTTAGCGAATTTCATGGTCGTTGTCTGCAAAAGCTAAGCTCATTAGCTTTTTGACAAAAACCGGTGTTCCTGTACACATCATCCGGTAAAAACGGCAGCTCCGAATTTAGTGTAAAATAAGAAAATATACACAGTTCGATTACACATGTCTAATTTGAGCGACTGCCAGTTCGAGTAGCGCTTCAGTTAATAGCAAGCTGGAAATTTCATTGCGAGGTACTACGCAGTACATCACATTAGCCCGTCAAAATGTTAGTATTTGAGATGCTATCGTGGTAAAGAAGATATTACTTTTTTTAACTAGTAAAAAACGAATAATAGCTTCGTCAACTCGATTGGTGGTCAATGCCACCATCACGTCGGACAGACATCGAATCGCATTTTTTAATTGAGGCTGGTAACAATGGTGGTAGCCAGCCTATTGCCGCGGAGCTCTTAGCTTCATTTGTCACCATGAATTTTCAAATGCTCAACTAGCTTCTTTCAGTCGGCATCCGTGATCTTTTCCTCGATCTCTTTAGCCTTGTCCTTCGCCTTTCCAAAGCTTTAACCCCCCAACGCCCAAGCCGTTTTTTGACGTTATTTCAAATCATCCAACATAGTACTCATCCAACATGTAAAACCGTGCAACACTTGACTTTACTATAGTCTCGTATAATTCCGAGCACCTTTCTTGTACATGCACAACAAGACAATTTCTGCAAATCCCGTCACCATGTTGTATGTACACCAGATCAAAGTTGTATATACACCGGCAGACTGCTTGAATATGGCGTACATCCAGCATGATGGAGGTTTCAAAAAAAGGTGTCGATGTATCTTTTATCAAGAGACTGTACGAAGCCTATCAATCCGGTGCAAAGCCGGGAGGTTTGAAGACAACGAAAAGCGAAACCAAACACACATCAATTGAATACAGTAAGAAAAAGCACATATTGCAGCACTACGTTCATCCACCACCAGTTATCGGCTCACTCAGTCTCGCTACCTTCCCTGTCGTCGTCGTGCGCTACGCTGTCGCTGTCGCTCCCCTCGCTAATACCTTCCTCCTCCTCTCCATCACTACTTCGGCGGCGGCGCTTAACCTTTCCTCCAGCCTCGCGATTCTGGAATCCTCGTCCACATCGCGCCCTGGGGCATTTGGCTCCATTTGCCCACTTGTGATGCCAGATCTGGTGGCAGCTCAGAGCGTTGCCAGGATAGTGGTGCGGCCAAATACGAGTACACAGATACATGCTGTACATAATGAGCAACAGTTAGTAGTCGTTTCAGCCATATCGAATTCGTATGTACCGAGCTTTATCAGAAGTGCTGCAGGCATCGCAATAGTATTTGGTGGCTCGACGCTCTCCCACCCGGCGCTTCAGAATTGCGCACACTTTGCATTGGCGCTGCCGGCGCTTGCGCACGCCTTTCACGATCTGGTACTCAGGACATTCCCGAGGTTCGTGGCCAGGTGGCAAGGGTGGAAGCTCGTCGCCAGCTGCGGTCTCTTGTGGTCTTGGCTGTCAACATACAGCATGTGGGTCATACAATATGTCAGCATTATCCAACATGATACAGATACAACATCAGGACTTACACTTTCATCGAAGTCGTACTTGGTCAGAGCAAGCAGCTGGGCATAAAGCTCCACTAGGAATTCTGCGTGCGACATTGGAGACCCACCATTTCGCTTATGTGCCTCACGAAAGATGATATACGCATTCACAATCGCCACATCCACAAGCCCCAAGAATATGGACTTGTAGTATTTCTTGCACCAAGTCTGCAACTGCAACGAGTAACGCTGGAGGTGCAGCTGGTCATGGACATCCACGCCCCCCATCCATTTGTGATAGTCTCGAATCATAGCAGGACAAGGGACATCAGTCCGTCTGCCGTGTGTTCCACGTGTACGCCTCTCTGATAACAAGCACAACATTGATTAGATGAATAGGAAACAGCACTCCTTTTGCATATACGTACGACACTCCTCCATCGCACGGCTCGATCCAGTCCCCAAGAATTGCACGGGTTTTCTATCCCACCACACTAAAGCCGTCATTAGGGGGCAAGCTTTTGCCACTGCCATTCTTGTTGTACCGTGCGGTATGCTTTTGGGTCGGTCTCGATTTTTTTCAACAATTTGCTGAGGATAGCCCACTTTGTCACCCATTATCGTGCCGATACTGTAGACATTCCTATGTAGTAGTTGAAACGCCAGTTGAACTGACGTATAAAATCGATCCGTCACTACAATGTGATAGACGTCATCTTCGGGTGGTGGCAGGACAGCTTCCAAGTTTCGGATAACTGCTGACGGCCCGGTGTTTGGATCTGCAGATCGCTGACTGTCTGGAACGTTGCCTACTTCATGGACCTGCTGCGCTTTGCCACAATACACCTCAAGTCTTCTTGTTGTAGGATACAGCATACAAGCATACAACATTAGATACAACATGATAGACTTGGTCAAAAAAAAAACCGCGAGTCCGCAAGGACTCGCAGTCATCTCACCTCATACAGTAGGAAGTATCTGCACAACACGTCAGAAAAAGCTTTGTGCCCCACTTGTGAGGCTTCGCCTTGAGATATTGACGCGTAGGATTGTTCCGGTTCTTCAGAGGTAGAACGCCCTCATCAAATGATATGATCGGCGGCGTTTTGTAACCCAACGGAAACGTTTCTTGCAGCGTTTCAACGATAGACCTGACTTTCCAGGCGCGGTCAGTTGCTGCTCTCGTGTCTGCGTTGTTGGTGAAGTGAAGATTTCCCATGATGTGTTCAAAGCGGTTTCGCGGCAAAAAATCGTTGAACGTCCCCCGTGGGATAGCTCCCACTGCATTAGTGCCCCAATGATCACGTAACCTGCGGCGGTGAGGGTTCAGCATTCTTGCCATCAGTAATCCAAGCGCTTGCAGTATCTCGTGCGGCTTGACGTCCCGCTTCTTGGCCTCGCGATGCAAAAACCACTCTTTGGACTTCTTGGCAGGTGTCTTCTGCGAGCTGAACATACGCTCCACTCGTGAAGTGAGGTTCTGCACAAAGTAGCGATTGGTTTCCTTTGCAACTTGTCTCCACAAACTCTTCGGCATGAAAAAGAAGAATAGCTTGAGCGGTGAGTGTGTCAGGGCCAGTACCTCGTCGGTTGGTCCATACTCCCCAGAATATAATCCTGGGTAATGTTGGTCAGGCGGGAAATTGTCTGGGTCTACATGTTGTATATACATCATATATCATGTTAGAATATGTTGGAGGCTACACCCCTCATTGTCACGAACCAAAGTTCCACCCGTTAGCTCGCATGGCAGCCATGTTGGCATCGTCCATCACAAAATAAACCATTTCCGGCTTCTCTAAGACGCTCCACTGCTGTGTCGAACCAGCTGCTTCTCCATCAGCACTCATAGTATCTGATCCAGCCTCACTATCGTCCTCATCACTGTAGTCTTCACCCGACGCAAAGCCCTCACCTTCACTTCTCGCTCGACTCCACTCGTCATCATCATCGTAAAACGTAATCTCGGTCTCTGTTTCCTCGCAATCAGAGTTCAACGCATCAAACTCGTCAGCGAAAGCGGGGGCAGCGATAGGAGAGGCTGAGACCGACGTTCTTTCAGGTGAAATTGGAGCGGAACACAGCGAGGCTGGAGCAGAAGTCGGCGAAACAGGGGTAGAGGTTGCCGCGTCGGGGACAGGAGTCTGGGAAATGGATGCTGAGCTTTCACTATGATACGCACAACGTTAGTATACATAATCAGCATCAAAGACTTTGCCACGTACCAATCGTCTTCTGGTGCTGCAACTGGACATTCAGGAGCTGGACATTCAGGAGCTGGACATTCAGGAGGCGGGGGTGGCGCAGGCGCTGCAGACAACGTTCGAGGCGACGGTGCTTCTGACGTATCTTGAGGATCGGTGGAACCCCTGTCGATAGACAATATATGTTAGCTGCTGTTCATGTTGTTTACATGTTGTCGATAACGACGTTGTAGGGAAAGCATAGCGACGCTGTATCCATGTTGTATGTCCCAAATGTTGTATGTACCTGCGCAACGTACAACAACACTTCGTGAGAACATGTAGTATCTGACAGCATAAAACATGGTGTACCTCTCTGGTGTCCCACTTGGTTGGCGGATCCTCTTCTTGTTCGCTTCACCAATCGCCTCCAATCTCTTCCTGGCCTCGGCCAAAGCGATGCTCCCTTGTTCCTCGGCATTCGCCGAATCTTCACAGCGCGATTCGGCAGCTGCTGTCCTCGCTGCTTTTGCCGCTGCCTTAGCAACTTGCGACGCGGTGGGTTTTCGTGGCTTCTTGGTCGGGGTCGCCTTCTTGGTCGGGGTCGCCTTCTTGGTCGGGGTCGCCTTCTTGGTCGGGGTCGCCTTCTTGGTCGGGGTCGCCGCGGCCGTCTTCTTCTTCTTCCTCTTTGGCGGCCGTGTCTTGACTGGGGAGTCTGCTGCATCCAGTCGCTCATCGTCTGCATCAGCATCCGCTTCCTCGTCGAACCGATCGGGATCATAGTCCTCATCATCGTCGCTCAAGTCCCTACTAGCAGCCAACCGTTTCTTGCCGGAGCCTGCCAACGTCTTTGCGGCGACAGCACGTTGCTGTTGCGAGATCAAACGTCGCTGCGCACGCACGTAACAGGCATCTTTGCCGATTGGAACCGGAAGCAGAGGACGAGCTGTCGCGCTGCGTGTAGGTGCTGGATCTTCTCCGAAGTCAGCATCCTCCTCTCGTTCGCCAGCCAGGTACGCCGCATGCTCCTTCCTGATGCGCTCTCGGTCGTGCGCAGTTCGGCCATCCAGACGTTGCAGGAACTGCTGGCGTTCGCGACGTGTTTCTCGAGGCGGGGCCATCGTGCACACGTGTCTCTCCTTCAGGTCTTTTCTTGAAATGAGCTCTCAGCCACCAACCCAGGGGAGAATCTGTATTGTTTATTGCCAAAGAGACTGATCTCAACAACCCCAGCCCTGTGCATTCTCAAGTTTGCCCATATTTTGCAACAAAATAGCCCAACTTTTAACATGTTGTACGTACAACATGATTCCTGCTGTACGTACAACCGTTGGGCGTTGGGGGGTTAATGGGATTGAGCTTCTTCACGGAATTCTTCAGATCGAGTACTCTCTCTTCCTCGGTCTCAGATTCCTCATTATCGACACGGCGTAGCAGACGGTTGCCGTCCGTGTGGCTTGTGGAGGCAAAATCGGGTAAAGTTTTGAGTTCATTCAGTGCCTTGGCATCATAGACGGCATGCAACGCATTGCTACTGGGTAGAGCACCCGCAATCACCACGGCGATAATGTACGCGAGACGCATGGTTGTTGTCAGATAGAAGCGTGAGCACAAGAGCGAGAGCCTTCACTTCAGATGTTGTTCCCGAAAGGAAGCAAGTTGTGAAATAGCGAGCTGACTGCTGAATGAAGGACGCGGTTTGGACACTAGATTAACCACAGAGTGAGTCGAAACGCGACATGCAGCTTCTTCCCCGTTGTGGATGCAAAGCGCGTTTGCATTTGCGAACTAGGGCCTACAATAATAGCCTACCCCGTGAAGCACTGTTTTTTTAATCACTCAGAGGTCGCAAACGATTAGCCCTACCCGCCCGGGTAAGGTTTGACCGTAACCACGGTTAGCCAACCAACTTCCTGGTTGAATCAACTAAAGAGTGAGCATTTGCAGAAATTTGGTGTAAAGTTTTTTTTCTTAATTAAGCGTTTGATCGCGCTGTTCCTACCGCAGATGTATTCAGTGCAGGAATACAACCCAAAGTTATTTATTAACTTATGTATTGATACATATAATAATATTAAAATGTTACGGATGGTATCTTTAAAACTGGATTCCCACTTAGCCGATTCGGCTATTGCTGATAGTACGGACGGTCACTTCATAGGAAACTTGGTCCGGACGGGTATAGCTCATACTACTAATTATTTTGTAATCGGAAATGTTCTTTTGCAACCTTTGCTTGCAATAGATCTGGAACCGCAATTGTTTTAATTTCTGACAATCTATTTTTTATACAATTATTGGAAATATAAAGTACGACATTACGGCCTCTAGAATCAACTTCTTTAAGCATTCACAGCAATGCGACAATGAATATACCGCAAAATTGTGGTCACAATTGGCTATGATTCGAAACTTTGGTAACTATAGAAAGCGATCGTGTATTATACAGTGACGACATCGGCGACTATCGCCGACAACCGGACGGACACCACCAGCGACCGTCACGAGGTGCGACACCGGAAGAGTCCATCAACAGCAGGCTGCATAATCACCAGCGTATTACCTAACCCCAACAAGAAAAAATTAAGGACAAAAATGAGGACCAAAAGTTGATGGCCTTGCTTGGCCTCAGTTTTGGTAGACGCTCCTGTGAGCATAGATAGAAATGTATCCCTGTATTAGCTCTCTTCAACCGTGCTAGCAACTCTTTGCTAAACCTACGCGTTATTGCATGAGCTGCTGTGTCGTACGGAGTCTGGAATGATTTCCCGGATAGTGTTTTGTCCTTAAGTTAAGGACAAAAATCGTCAAATGGAATAGTATAATCAAGTTAATTTTTTATTCCATACAACGTGGCGTCGGGTGTCTCAACTGTCATATCAGACATTGCGCTGGCGCGCTCGATTTTTGTCCTTATAATCGAGGTGTTAAGGACAAAATCATTCGGAATTTCACGTATTTGTATCTTGCATCTTATTTCGTCCTCATTTTAAGGACAAATTTTGTTGGGGCTAATCTGTCGCGTCAACAGCGGCATAACATAATCCACCACGTCAACAGCGGCACCGCATAAACTTTTTCAAGGAAGATTTGAGCTGAAAAAAACGGGTCGCGAAGATTTGATCTGATTGGTCGGTCAAACATACTTTCCAGCCGTGATATCCCCTAGTAACTTCTGAAGTACTAGATTTTAAATGTGTCCAAAGGATAAAAATTCCTTAAACATATTACACTCAGCTAGTGTGTGCATAATTGGAAATAAGTATGAAAAAAAATCCTCGATCTATAAATGGTTGGATTTTTCAACCCAATCAGCCTTAAAGAGCGTTAGCCTGCCAATGTGTAAGAAAGGTCAGTGCTCATCATTCGTTAAACAACAGCTGTGTTTTTGGCTACTGAAACTTACAAATCATTCGAACCGTGAGAACCTGTCAATTTAAAAAATAAAAATAAAGTAGATGTACGTATTAGTAGAGTATGTACAGTCTAGGGTTCCCGATCGTCATGATAGTTAGTCTTTCGAGAACAACCGTTCCTTTGGACTCGTTCATTCTGCAATTTTCTCCTTCTTTCAAAGCGTGCTCTGGTATTAGTATGGGGTTCTCTTCGCTGCTGCTGGCGCTTTTTGCATCCATTCTTTTTGTTCACGGTGGCACCATCTCCGCGAATGCAGCTACCAACCAAGCGATTGAGGGTTTTGGAAGCGATAATCAAGAAGAGAGGGCACTCAATTTAGAGTCGTTAAAGAAGTTGATCCCGGGGTCAAGTGCACTCCAAAAGGCAAAAACTCTGAGAGTTGTGAAAAAGGCCGAAGAGCTCGCTAAGAAGAAAGCTGCCGTGGACAAATGGCTCCAAAAGTTTCAGATGGTGATTATCTATTCAACTTCGCGTTCCCGGCGTGGAAGGAAAAAAAGATGTCACCCACAGATGTGCACCGAATGTTTGAGAAAAAAGGCAAGGTTGGAGAAGAGGTCAACACGATCGCCGCTCGTTTCAACAATTATCGCATGGTTTAAATGCGTACATCGTGGTAGAGATACGAGTAGTCGTACCGACGCTAATACTGCTAGTTCTCAAGATTCTAATCGGAGTAGTTTGAGCGATTGGACTGTTGGTGGGAATGACTACAGATTGTTTCTTCTTACTACCCTTCTTCCACTTCAAACCAGCATTGAAAGAACATTTTTACGCTGCTCTAACTGATGTACTGAATGTGAGCAAACAAACAAAAACATATTTTTTTCACCAGGCAGCTCTTAATACATGAACTACGTAGTAGTAAACCCTAGTCTTGGAATATCCGCCGACCGAAATATCGGATCCGTCTAGCAGCTAAGTGAATATTTCTTCTCACCGCTCCCTATAACATAGAAAAGATTATCACCCATGAGCACCCTTCTGTGCTAAAGACACTTTTGTGCAACACGTCCTAACCAAGCAAGGACACTTGCTCCTTGCGCCCTTCCTGTCTGCTTATCTGCAGGATCAAGCTCTACATCATCATCATCTGCTTTGCCTCCAGTATCCCTAGATGCACCCATCGATTCGTCACCTCTTCAATCCCACAGAGGTCTGTATCGGGCTCGCCGAACAGATTATCACCAGGTGGGTTCAGTAATTCAGTCACCGACATCGAATCGGACGTAAGACTTAGGTTCGACTGGGATCTTGGTGCACTAAAGTTAGCTTAATTGAAGAAGGAGAGAGAGCCGCAAACGCAAGAAATGAAAGGATGGTAGCTGTTGACCTTTTTGCTTCTGTAAGTGTACCACGTAGAAGGTAGATCCAGGAATACCCTTAGCTAAGAATAAAATGTGGCGCTATATTGGCGGGAATTTGTTTATAAAAAATCGTGCTGACGCTACGTACGTAGAGCTTTCAAAATAACTTAACCACGCTTCCGTTGGAGTTGTACGACCGAGGATATCGCCGATATCAAGAACTCGTAATTCTTTTTCGGACCGAAGAAGTACTAAGTAGACCGATCCTTCCATAAAATGCTTCATTGTGTCGTGTGGAAACGCCACGTTTTGTCATGTCGAAGGACTACGAAAGGGCTCATCTGGATAAAAAGGGGCAAGGATGCTGTAAAATGCTGCTTCTAAAACGCTACGCAAGTCTCTCGCTTTTTGTAGTGTCTTTCGACCCTAAGGCGTTGCTTGGGAGTCCGACTCACTAGCTTGGAGCTAAAATGAATTCTGATATTTAATGTATGCACTGTAGCCTACTTGTCTGGTTCGAAAAAGAATTAACAATTTTTTTAAATTGGCGATAACTTCGGTCGTACAGCTCCACCATAAGCGTGGTTGAGCTAGTTTGAAAGCTCTAGCGTCAGCACAATTTTTCTGAGCAAATTTCCCGCCAATTTCGCCACTACCTGACCATATGAACTATCTCTTTATGGAGGGGTGGAGTTTATTTTTCACTTTATCGTCAAAAATAATCAGAATTAAACTTTAAAATATACTAGAAAAAGCACAAACGGAGCTTAATCCAGTGGTAAAAGCAATTGAATCCATTTTCGTGTCAATTACTCTCAATCCGTGTGCATACAAATCCTCATATGAACTCGTTTTAATTAATCGTACCCATCTCAGAGCGGACATTGACCATCCACACATGCGAGGTTTTTTGTAAAGAAAAACCTAGCTGTTAATTCTTTTCCAGCATTGTGATTTCAGCAACTCTTCTTCTTCCTAATAGGGGGTTTCAAAGTTGTCATTAATTAGGATTTTTTTGGCGGGGATGAGCCTCATTTTTGTCGGAAAATGCGCCTCCCGAGACGCATTTTTCCAGATGATTTTTTGAGTTCTCATTTTTAGGGGTACGCCGCTAAATATATAACCTGGTTACTTTCGAATCTGGTGGCTGGGAAGCGAAGGGTACAGCATGGCACGCCAAAAGGGCCAGAAGGGTGGCCACACCACCTTACTGCAGAGGCAGTTTATGGTGGAATGGCTGAAAAAACCGGCTAATTTCAATGTGATTGTGGGCAAGGCAAATGACGACCTGTCTGCTGGCTTTGGAGGGGCGCGCACAAAGATTTCAGGCTTCTGTCAAATGGCAGAGTACGTGTTTACATCTTGCTTGAAGACTTTTGCGGATGCAGGTTCGCCGATACCGGCTAAGTATACCGAGCGATGGATGCTTTTACATGCCAAAGCCGCTGGACATCTTACTTTAAGGTGTTCAGGAAAATCAGGAAAAGGTTAGACTCCCAGACGGGATTTGGCCTTACTAAATCGCAGCTCGAAGCAGGGCTGGCGCTCGAAGAAGCTGTTGAAACAGCTTGTCCGTTCTACTACGACATCGAAGGCCTGTTTGGAGGCCGGCAAAACATTTCTCCATTCTCTATCATGGACAATCCGTCAGCAAATAGTGATGGGTCCACTCAAGGAGGCTTGTATGGAAGTGCTGAAGCTGGTGAACCAAGTTTGATTTAACCTCCTTCACGCGCGGCAACTCCTTCACGCGCGGCAACTCCTTCACGCCCTCACGCGCGGCAACTCGTTCACGCCCTGCGACTTGTTCACGCGGGGTTACGGGTTACAAGGTAATTATCTGGTTTTTGTGGCAAGTTAGTGGTGTTTCAGAGCTGAAAGCCCCCTCATTTTTCGACAAAAATGAGGCTCATCTCCGCAAAAAAAAAACCTAATTAATGACAACTTTGAAACCCCCTAATGTATGCACTTTACTGAGATTAAATGATCTCAACCTTGTCCCATACTTTTTACTATCGTCCGTTTTCTGCATATTGCGTACGAGATCATGTGCGATGCGTCTGTTGTCATCAGGAAGTGCCTTTCTGCCACTACACTCTTTCCCATAGATCAAAAGGAGTAGATGCGTCAGTGTGCCATATTTTTTTAATATTTATATAAATTGAAAATGCTGTAAATACAAAAAAATAAAAAAAATGCGTTGGCTTGCTTATTGTGCTCAGCCTATTCATGTGTTCTTAGCAAAGCCCGCGCAAGTATCATATTATTAAAAAAACGAACAAAATTAAAATATCAAAGAAACTAAGACTAACGTATCTTAGTTCATTTTCCTAAACAAATTTTTAAAAATTAAGTTTTGCATCACAACAGTAGCAAAATAATCTGACGTAGCAAATCCAAAAAATGGGACTCTTGTGCCAAAATCATCTCCTGCTCCTGCTTCGCAGTCGCTATATCTGTCGTGTCGAAGCTACTCTATTAATATGACTTTTAACCAGTTATCAAAAAATACCTTTGATGCTTTATTATACCTGAGTAGTTTTGAAGATGGTGCGCAAGCGATCCAATCGAAGAATGAACCCGACGACATCTGCAAAGTGTTACAGTCTATCCCATCGGTAGTAATCCCTTGACTTTGGTAAAGTAGGGATCAATATTATAATACATTCCCTTCTACTACTTTAGTACTTACCGTTTGTTATTACAATGCACGGCTACATCTCCATAAAATGTAATCAACGCTCCCCATCAGCACTCAGTGATTTCTCGCGCATAACACCTCTTTTTATCACCAACAAAATGTATCCTTTAAATGAAGATCAATTGAGTTTTATGATTTCGATATCGGGGTTATTTTTATCGTTAACCCATTATTTTTAGGAAAAAGGAGTGTTGGTCAGTCGAGCACTGTGTTCTTGCGTATAGCGCTCACTACGCACGCTCATGTGGCGCCAAAGCTTATGTCTGCGAGCGAGCCATCCGATGACAACGTGTGTTGGTCTGATACCGACTCCGACGACGAGCACACAGCTGCAGGGACCTGGAGAAAATCAACTGTACCCAAGTGCGCGTACAGGTGGACGACGTTGATAAGCTTCTGCTAGAAAAGGCGCTAGATGAAGAAGACCACGTTGTCAAGCGGTTATTGCAACGGATGTATGGCACCACACAACACCACACAGCCAGCATTAGCATTTCAAGGATTATTTTCACGTGGCTGGATTCCTCAATTCTTTTAATGCTGCAGCAGTTTGTAAACGTGAACTTAGATGAAGCTGCGGCCGTTACGGCTGACGAACTCTTCGCGTTTGTGGAAGCGGAGCTCTGGTTGAGCTTCTATCGTGTGACGTCGACATTTTTCTTTCGATAAGAAGAATCGAAATCAATACCCACCAGCCAATTGCTCCATGGCATTCGCGAGATGTCGCTATATTCTCGTCGCTTTGGGTACGACAAGGAGCCGGGAAATAGAAGGCTCAAACCAGTGGACAGCTCCGTTTAGCTCATATCATAATACAGTACATGCAACAGAACTCGTCCGTCGACAGTGCGCCGACAACGGGTTTGTTTCTGGAACTACAATTGCGTCGCTAGATAATGATCTCATACGACTACGCTCTGCGAGAGTTGATGGTGTTGGACTAGCTCACGTTCGCAATCCAAAAATGGGGTAATGTAGCTTATGAGCGCTCTGAAATACTGTGCGGTGCTCACAAATAACATGCGTGAGTAGGTATGGACCAGTGCAGCATGGAATAGTTTCGCTGGTTACTGGCATCTTTCTTGGGGGTCATGTTGCTGCTAGAGGGGTGTCTACTGTGGAAATTGTCCGCATTCTTCAGCGTTCATTATGTGGGGCGTCGACAGAGGGTCATATTCGCCTACCTAGTGTTATTCACGCTCTGGACAGAGGCTACCAATCATTTGCAGTCAATCAACAGATTACTAGTGTTGGTGGTAGCATCACCGGTACGCACAAGCGCTATTTACCTTTGAAAAAAACCCAAGTCAGTATCAACAATTAATATCTGATAAGGGTGAGAAATCGTCATAGTGGGCAACCAAGCGGATTCCTATCAGTGCCGGTACGCTTCCCGTGTATGCACATGCTCTCGCTTATCGTTCCGGCCTCGGAAAAATTGCGTTGGGCTTCACGACAATGTCAAATGCTGGTCCTCGTCACTGGATGAATGTCACTAGTCCTAAGCCCCGCTATAATCTCCACGAGGGCGATTTGGTTTCAGCATTCGAAGGCAATGTGCAGCTACTGACGATGACACAACGTACTCCGGATTGGTTAATGCAGCGTAAATTTCGAATAACTCGGTCCGTTGCGGCAAAGATTTTTAGAGCTATTGCCCGCTGTGCAGGTGATTCGGTTACGGATGACCCTATGATAGACCCCGCGAATGATCCTGATGTACGAACAATTATCCTTCTGCTTTCGCTACAGCAACCACGCCAGCCTTCACGTGAAGTACT